CTTAATAATTTAAGGAAATACAGATAGAAGCCTTTAAATCCTATCTTGATTAAGTGTAAAGCATAATAACACTATTACAAAGCCAGCCCCATATAACAAGACAATGTTAATTTATAAATCACAATTTATTTTTAGACTAAAATTGATAATGCTGTTGTTAAAAGCAAATCAAACACGAAGACATAATAGACAAAATAGCTTTTAAATCAATGGAATGAATTGAGGTAATAGCAATTATTTTACCAAAAAAAGATGCACAATCTTTTATATTATGCTTATATTGCAAGTATCTTAAATAAAAGCTTCCGCAGTAAAATCAGAAACACTCAGCTTAGAACTATAAATATATCAACTAAGTCAAACGTTGCTATATTTGGCTAATCATTTCTGATATAATTTCCTTTAGCATTTTAGCACTATTCTGGCTTGCTTCCAAAACTTCTTTATGGTTTGCAACAACATTAGAGTCGACGTCTGAGACAACAATATTAGTAACGAGTGAAAGAGCAAAAACTCTCATTTTTGAGTGATGAGCAACAATAACTTCAGGCACAGTGCTCATTCCTAAAATAAAAAAAGTGAGACCAAGCATGGAAAAATTAAAAAATGAGATATATTATTAAGATTATAACAATATAATGAAAATGCATACCAACAACATCGGCGCCGAGTAACTTCATCATTGATAACTCTGCCACGGATTCATAAGAGGGACCACATGAAAATACGTATGTACCTTCGTGAACCTTTTCGCTATACTGTAAATTTTTAGCAGTTGATTTGAAGAGATTTCGTAGCTCTGAATCGTAGGCATTAGAAATCGATGGAAATCGAGGTCCGAATCTATATGATATAAATAGTGAAACATTTTATGATGAATACTTAAAGTCACGATATTTATGAAATATTAATTGAGTGCAATTACCTCTCGTCATTCGGACCAACAAGAGGATTTAATCCGGAGAGTCCAGGGAAATTGATGTGATCCCGTATAACAACTAAATCACCTATCTTAAGTCTTGATGAAGTGGCCCCGGCTGCATTTGTAATAAAGATAATTTTAACGCCCAAGAGCTTAAATACTCGGATAGGTATAGAAATCTTTTTATAAAGTAAAAATCCTAAACACTATTTACTTCTGTTGCAGAATAACCTTCGTACATATGAAAGCGTCCTTGCATTAATACTACACTTCTATTCGCAAGTAGTCCAAAAACTAAATTCCCAACATGACCAGGAACTAAAAATAGCCCAAAGATTTGGTGTACCTGTGCTTCTTGGGAAATTTGGAATGGATTCGTAAGGAACAACTTGGCTATCTTGAATAGATTCCGCCAACGATCCAAGACCTGAACCGCAGACAATTG